TACTATAATGGAAACTGAATCTAAATCGCTAGAAAAAAGAGTTGAAAATTTGGAAAATAACGAAAAATGGGTTGAAAAAAGATTCGAACTTAGAAGAGATAGGCTAGTTAAGTTAGAAACAATAGTCGGAATTGGTTTGGGCTTATTCCTCGCCCCTATTGCAGCTGATATGGCATCGGCCGGTCTTGGATCTTTAAGCAGAAAACTTCGTTACATCTTTATGTGATTTGAGGATAATATAAACCTAAGAATTCCAGGGTTTAAAAAGGTAAAATTATAGTTTATAAATTAGAAATTCAAAACCATCGTAACTTTTAAATGCGTCGGTAGCAAGCCTAACAGGCTTTTCTTTTTTTGAAATATACGCGAACCGTTATTAAAATAGACGATCTATTATTAAATCCCATAGTAGTGGTAATTTTTACCCAAAATCGTTTTTTTTAACCAAAAATCAGGTGGCTAGCCGTGTGGGCGGATTTAAAAAAATCGAGTGGCTAGCCGTGTGGGCGGATTTAAAAAAATCGCCAGAATCGGCCTATTACCACTACTTCAGAGAAACTGAAAAAGAACAATTTGATTCTGTCATAGACACATTGACTGAAGAAAAGAAAGATGGGGATGAAAACTCCATGAATCGCTTCTTTGCCGGAACTATTTCAAAAGCATATGAAATGATGAAAATCAAAGAAAGCGTYACTTGTGAAAACAGATCACTTGATGATTGCGTTACATCGAAAGATCACGTCACTACAAAAGCTTCTGAATCTCTGTCACGTGATGATGGCACAAATGAAGAGAACCTCTGTAAAGCGTCACACCCACTTGAAACGTTGTACAATTGTTTAGTTGCACCTGTCCTATTAGACGTACGACACGACGAGATTGTCATAGTACCCGGTGGACCAATGTATAGAGTACCGTTTGCTGCCCTAAGGAATCCCAATACAGGACAGTGTCTATCAGATACGAAACGAATTCGACTTGCACCATCAATAGCAGTATTAAAGGCCCTAAAGGAATGTCCAGTGGATCATCACAGCCAAAAAGGAGCGTTGATTGTAGGAGATCCAAGTGTTGGAGAAGTCATGTTCAGAGGAAAGAAACGAGTGTTTGCACGTTTACCTTCAGCAAGTAACGAAGTMAGATTTATTTCTTATAAGTTGGGGCAGACCGCCCTGACTGGAGAACAAGCTACCAAAAACGCTGTGTTGCACAGAATGAAAGAAGGATCAGCTGTAATTCACATTGCTGCACACGGGAGCTCTGACAATGGTGAAATAGCGCTGGCACCAAATGTCTCGACAGAAAGACAAGGAATCCCAGAAGAGGATGACTACCTGTTGACGATGAAGGAGGTTCAGGAAATCGGAATCAAAGCTCAACTTGTAGTGCTAAGCTGTTGTTACAGTGGTCGCGGTGAGATCAGGGCTGAKGGTATCGTTGGACTAAGTCGTGCTTTTCTTGCGGCCGGAGCTCGTTCTGTCGTAGCTTCATTGTGGGCAATCGATGACAATGTAACTTTGAGTTTTATGGTGAGTTTTTACGGTTATSTGACTCGAGGTGAAAGTGCGAGTGTTAGTCTTCATAAAGCCATGCATGATATAAGAAAAGAGGGCCACAGGGATCCCAAGTACTGGGCTCCTTTCTTCTTGATCGGTGATGATGTCATTCTGAATTTGAAGTAAAAAGCGTCTTACTTTTTGTGACTCTTTTATGCCATCTAATGTTAGGAAACTGCTAAATACTTATTTTTATAGCATTATTTCCAGCAACAAGTCTAATCATTGTAGCGATTATTCCATTGTTTTCTTAGACAAGAGAGAGATAAGGAATTAGCATAATTCAGTATAACTTAGAATTGATATCAAACTGTATTGAAGGCCCGTGAAATAAGATTTTTAAATCAAAGAGACAATTTATAAGGAAGAAAAAAAGCAATCTCAGCGCACGATATGTTGTAACAATCGTACCTATTTCACTGACTTCACTCTGTTTCATCGTTTTAGTTTTTTGGCAGTTTAGACCTCACTGTAAGGGCATTAAAACCGTGAAACGAATTTTCATTGTAAATAAAGGCATGATAAGTCAAATAATTACTGAAAAGAAAAGAAAGTAACCAGTGCTTCCTAGGTGTATTAGTGTGTAATCTATTTCACGATTTTTAGACTTCACTCATAGACACTATTAAACACAGACGGTTAGTGTCTTTACATTTGACCCGTGAAACGCTAACTGTTATTGTGTAATACTCCAGCTGAACGAAACGAAAACATAACTAAAGTTGATTTCATTTGACCGTGAAAGTTTTTTTTCTATTGTTTTACCAACAAATGCTAACTAAATGGTCATTTTCATTACATGGTCAAAGACTCCAGTAGTCTGGTAATTGTTTCAAGGGTTAAGTGTAACGACTCTAATCGTCAGTATGGTCAACTGTGTTTATTATTGTCATATTGACCGATGTTTTTATGGCTTCACTGGTTTAAGTACTGTCTTTAAGTGTAGTCGATATTTCACAATTTCTGGACAAAAAGCTCTCTACAGTGATTTTCTGTTGACTGTGAGAGATGCAGATTGTCCTTGATGATTGAAATGAACAAAAGAGCAAAGATGTATAATAATGAAAGTACGCTAAGCATTCTGGTAGTTTTAGTTCGGTGTTACGTGAAAAAAAATCACAGAGACATTTTATAATTCTTTTAATTAGGGATGAGACAAATAGGTAATTTTCAACTATTCTTAGAAATGGTTACGTCACTAGAAAAAATTGAAAGAATGATAGAAAAAATATGAAATAAACATCTAAGTATTTGTTGTATTTTTCAAGATATGCGTTCTCTCGACTCACTTGTTTTGAAGATATACCTAGAATACAGCAACCCTAAACTTCTGGAAACAGAATGCCATACACTTCTTCCTCAATTAATATGTGAGCGCTGTCATTGTAAAAGGCACCTAAGCTGCTAAGGTCGCTATTGGGCGCTGCTCTTTACCCTACAGGTCACTGCTCTTTAGGTTCCATTCTCATTAACAATACTTATGTAGTTTTCTCACTAGCGCAAGTGCTGTGCTTTCATGCTGATATGGAGTCCTAACGCGCTATTAAGAAGGCCAGACTTCAACTCACCTGTGCCATTTTCTGCGGGACAAGGTGACGCGCGCAATGATTTACCCTCTGTCCTTTCAAACAAGCACAACAAAGCCAGCAGTCATGTCTACCTGATCATAACGTCGGCTTTGACATAATAATGGTCTGATAAAGCTGATTCTGCATTCTGATTGACAATCTAATAAAAGAAACACGATGGCGGATGCCTTGAGAACTGCATGCCGTTCTTTCTTGTTATTTTGAAMGAATATATTATTTTGCGCGGGCTTTCTTTGTTTACGGAAAGAAATAAGGAGCTTAGCAAGTGGTGTCAACCACGATAAAATTGTTTTGAAAGATTTTTTTTTTTTGACTCTGAATGTTTATTTTAATTTAGTACCAAACAAGTTTGTTCTATAATGCGAAGTCTTGTCCTCGTGTGCGTACAACAGAAAATTATGCGCGTAGACCCCAACACAGGTATGCCGACACTAAAGAGCTGCGAGGGACGGAAACCTGAAGTAAATGATACTCTTAAAGGAGACAACATTATAGAATTACAGAATTGCTTGTTATTATGAATACTCATGATCTAATGAATTAATCTGTAGCTGTTAAGACCATTATGTTTAGTAAACAACACTAATATGTTCGTAGATACATTATATACAATTTTTATTTCTATATGTCACTCTTTCAGTTGTCTTTCATTGAATCTTTGATTTTTTCTTTCAAATGATCATACAATGATTCTTCCATCCATTCATTCATTCCTTTGTTATTTATTCATTTGTTGATTTTTAATACACAATATCATATTTTATCTACCAAACTGACACATTTGTTTATCAAATCATATGTATACGGTTTATTCAAATCTATGTATAAAGTGAAACCYTRTTGTCATAACTACATTAATCAAAACATTCATTTCCGGGTTGAGCCAGACTTCAGGTACTTTTGCACAGCGGGATTACAAACGACAGAACTCTTCCGGGAAGTCCAAGAGAGGCAAATCTTGTTTCTTGGCCGAAAAATGCTATAAAATTCACTGACAAAGAACCACTTCATATCATGATGTTTGATTGATTTATTATCGTGCAAGAATCCTGTATCGAATCTGCATCGTATGTGAACGAGGAACAGTATTCAGTGCAATAAGATTTCGTCACGACTGGACTCGGACGAAGGTAAGACAAACTTTTGTACTCGTTGAGATTGATAACATCCAACAAACACTTTAAAAATCATCAGAAAGCGGTATTTATCCTTCAATCATGTCACCAATCGTTGGTGGTTGTTTATTAGTGTCTGAAGTATCGATATGATTTCGAAATAACTTATTAGTCAAATGTCGTCGAATTTAACACTTTATGCTCGATTTTATAACGAAATGTCCCTAAATATTTGTAGGAAATCTATTCGATTGACTTATCCTATTCATCATATTTGTGATTTACAACATTGCCATGAGCTATTTTACTTTATACAACTTTTCAGTAAAATCAGACGTTTTGATTGGTTGGCTTTCGTGTGTTATCAAAGTATAGATACACGGATTACGTCAAAACTAATTGTTTGTTGTATAAAACAGATAGATCTCATTTTTCCGTGCGTGTGTACTCTAATAGATACACAGATGACGTCAAAATGTAGTGAGAACAACAGTCACGCACTCGACTGCGTCTCGTGCGTACTTTTTTGTTCTCACTATTTTGACGTCATCTGTGTATCTATTAGAGTACACACGCACGGAAAAATGAGATCTTTTTGTTAATTAAAAATCAATGTATTTACTGTTTGAGTTCAAGTGGATACAATGTTTACTTGTCGTCATTTTGAAAACACAGGAAGCCCAATTTGATATACTTTGGAGAGACGACATGAAATGGTCGAAGGCATGTTCTATCGGTGAATCAAAACTACAAGCTGGTGAGACTAGAGATGCAATAAGATACTTTAAAAAGGCCCTGGCGATTGCACAAAGGAATGGGTCTAAACAGGAAGAAGCTGTCACACTTGAACGACTTGGTTATGTTTACTTTTCCATAGAAAATTATCACGAATCTGTTGAATACTATGAGAAGGGACTGGAAATAGTACAAGAGACTGGTGACAAGAAACTAGAGTGTGTGATGTGTTATAACATTGGCATTGCGTACGATAAACTGGGAGATTATGAAAAGCTTATGGAGAATTCAAAACAAGGCTTCAATGTTGCGTTAAGAATCGGTGACTCTAGACTCACTGCAGATTCTTATGAAGGTCTTGGTCGTGCTTACCTTTCCCTGTGTGACTATCAAAATAGTATAAAGTGCCATAAAAAAGCTATTGATATGTACAAACAACTGAATGATGAAGAAGGATTAGGGCGTTGTTATGGAAACATGTCATTATCCTATAAGAAGCAAGGAAAGTACCATGATGCAATTCGTCTATTAGAGGAGAGTCTCAGGATAAGTGTTAAAATTGGAAGCAAAGAAAAGCAAGCGAGTGACTTACTTAATTTGGGAACAATAAACGCAGTGTTGAATGATTATGATAAGGCCATCAAGATGTTCCAGAAAAGTCTTGCTATCAGTATAGAGATCGGTAATAAACGTCTTCAAACAAGATGCTATGTTAACCAGGGAAATGTTTTGTTTGATTATTGTAAAAAATATTCAGAAGCCATTGTGTATTATCAGAAATGCTTAGACATTTCAAAAGAAATCGATGATAAACAATTACAATCAATCGCCTTAGAAAACATTGGCAACTGCTTAAAGGAATCGGATCGAAACGCCTCTTCGGAAGAGGCGAATGAAAGATACGACAATAGTCTTGCTATTGCTAAAGAACTAAATGACAAAGATCGTGAGGCAAGTATTTATCATGCTATGGCTATGAACAATATTAGCAGCAATCAATTTCAAACTGCATTACCTTTATTAGAGAAATGCCTTGACATCGCTTCGACTATTGGCAATAAAGAACTTGAGGGTGGAGCATGCTATAGATTTGGTCAAATATACTATTCATTACACAAAGAGAAACAAGGACATCAAGCATGTCATAAAAATAAGGATAATAATATAGCTAAATCAGAGGAATACTTGAGGAAGGCTCTTGATTGTTTTGACTTTTTATTTCAACATCTCCATCAACGTGATCATTTAAAGGTCTCCATTTTTGATGATTTCATTAAAGTTTACAAGCTACTCACAACCGTGCTAATCGAGACAAAGCAACTACAAGAGGCTCTATTAGTATCTGATAGTGGGCGAGCACGTGCCTTAGGAGATCGTTTGATGTTTAAATATGGCATGATTCAGCAAGAAATGTCATTACCTAAGCCACTAACCTATCCTGATGTGGAGGCTGTCTTCTTTAAAGATGTCTTCTCGATACTGCATTACAGCTTACTAAGCGACAGTTTGGCTGTGTGGGTTTTAGCTAAAGACTCACTGATGTTGAAAGAAACTCAAAAGGAACAATTTAATTCTGCAATAGAAACATTGACTGAAGAAAAGAAAGATGGTGATGAAAACTCCATTAAACGTTTCTTTACTGACACTATTACAAGAGCATATGAAATGATGAGAATCCAAGAAAGCGTCACTTGTGAAAACAGATCACTTGATGATTGCTTTACATCGAAAGATCACGTCACTACAAAAGCTTCTGAATCTCTGTCACGTGATGATGGTACCAGTGAAGAGACCCTCGATAAAGCATCACACCCACTTGAAACGTTGTACAATTGTTTAGTTGCACCTGTCCTATCAGAAGTACAAAACGACGAGATTGTCATAGTACCCGATGGACCAATGTATAGAGTACCGTTTGCTGCCCTCAGGGATCCCAATACAGGACAGTATCTGTCAGACACCAAACGCATTCGTCTTGCTCCATCAATTGCAGTATTAAAGACCCTAAATGAATGTCCAGTGGATCATCATAGCCAAAAAGGAGCGTTGATTGTAGGAGATCCCAGTGTTGGAGAGGTGATGTTCAGAGGAAATAAACGAATGTTTGAACGTTTGCCTTCAGCAAATAGGGAAGTCAGCTTTCTTTCAGTTATGCTTAGACAGTCGACCACACTGACTGCCGAACAAGCTACCAAAGATGCGATTTTAGAAAAACTGAAAGAAGGCTCAGCTGTAATTCACATTGCTGCACACGGSAGCTSTGACAATGGTRAAATAGCGCTGGCACCAACTGTCTYGYCAGAAAGACAAGGWATCCCAGAAGAAGATGACTACCTGTTGACGATGARRGAAGTCCAACAAATAGGAATCAAAGCTCAACTTGTTGTSCTAAGCTGTTGYTACAGTGGCCGTGGKRAGATYAGGGCTGAGGGTATGGTTGGACTAAGTCGTGCTTTCCTTGCGGCCGGAGCTCGTTCTGTCGTAGCTTCATTGTGGGCAATCGACGACTGTGTAACGTTTAGCTTCATGGTGAGTTTTTACGGTTATTTGACTCGAGGTGAAAGTGCGAGTGTAAGYCTTCATAAAGCCATGYATGAYATTAGAAAAGAAGGCCACAGGGATCCCATGTACTGGGCTCCATTCTTCTTRATCGGTGATGACGTCATCCTGAATTTGAGGTAAAAGGTGTCTTACTTTTCATGACTCTTTATGCATGTAATGATAGGAAAGTGTTAAACACACGATTTAACATGATCTTTATAGTATTATTTCCAGCAACAAGTATAATCATTCTAGCAACTATTGATGTCGATTTTAACATCACACTTTCATAGTT